AGACAAAGCAGTAAGAAGAAGCGAAGGAGTAGCAGTAGAAAGGCTGCAGAAAGAATCAGGAGCCCAGAGGAAGGGGAAAAGGAGGTGAGGGGGTGGGGGCAGAAAGAGGAGACGAAAGCAGACGACAGAACTTTGCTAGAGAGCAGGAAAGGAGGTGAAAGGAGACAAATTTAGAGAAGAAAATGTTTCGGTCACTACCCGGAATATTCTTATTTGAACAATTTTTCAACACATTTGGTATGTCCAACTGAGTTCCCGGGTGGTTCAGGTCCTACCTGATTGGCTGTAAACAATCTGTTCTTGCACTTGACTCTCTTCCATCAGTTTTAAAAATTAGGATTTGGAGTGCCCCAAGGTTCAGTGGTAGGTCCTATCTTGTATGCCTCATTTACAGTCACTAACTTGGAACCGCGATTGGAGAGCACAATGTAAGCTATCACATTTTCGCAGATAATACACAGTTGTACAAATCTATTCCACCATCAAAATGGTGTTAAAACGTTGGCTGCCACCGTCGGTCTGCGTACTGATGATGTCAAGAACTGGAAGATTCACAGTAATCTCCAACATAATGTAGATGAAACCGAGATTGTTTGGTGTAGCCCAAAGAAAAGTCATTTACCTATTAGCGTGGGTTACATTAATTGTAGTGACATTTTAAAACTGTGTTTTAATGAAAAGACAATATTCATTTTTTTTAAAAATTAGAAGCTTATTATGATTCAAACTGTCAATGGAACGTCGTGTGTAGAATTGGGTACATGCAGCCCTGTGTCATACAACCTAACCTCCATGAGGTTGCGGGTTCGGTGGTTTCAAGCCTCAGGTCCGACGTTGTGTCCTTGGGAAAGGCACTTTTAACTAATTTTCCTCACTTCATGCAGGTGAGACACCTACTCTGATCGATTTTGGACCACCAAGGAATCTTTAACGTGCACAACTTGTGCATGGGACCTCCGAGATTTTCTGCCCCCATCCTAGAAGGTAAGGTGAGATCTTACCTTCTCTATCAGGTCTGCTGGGGTAATAATATAGACTGTAAAGAGCATAGCTTGCTGTTGAGAGGGAATTTGCACTATATACATGCTATCTATTGTTGTTATTATTATTATTATTATTGT